TCGTCACTTACATTTAGTTCGATCTGGTAATCTGGTCAGTTAAACCGGGTACATTTTTGTGAATATTGAAACTTCCCGTAAGCCAAGAATTAACGACTCTTTACCACATTATGACCAAAAGATCTGTGATTGTCTTGTGGGTGTGCCTAATAAGATTGCGGCACTCCTACGACTTCGAGAGGTCGGCCGCTCCCACCTCCTCTAAATACCTATTTTGGGCTACAAACCGTAACCTTCAACCTTTTATTGACAGTTATCCGTACGGTAACATTCATTGATAAAAAAAACAAAAGAAAATCTTACCTTACTATTTCATTTTGCGCGCGAAATTACACATATTAACGTATGGCTTGATTTCACATAGTCTTTTAGTCACTGCACTTCACTGAAGTTATGTACCGAGGGCGGCGACTTAGCGCGCGTGTTGTTTTGAGACAGGTCTTTATAGAGGTGAGGTTGAAGCGAAGGATGAAACGCGACTGCGCGGGTGCGGTCTTCTCCGCGCTCGATAAGTTGGCCATGAAAATTTCAGCCACTGTCAACCGGTGGCAGGAAGGTGCGCCACGCAACATCCGGTGCACGCTTTGAAACCTGTAATTCAAAAACTTGCTAATAATTTCTAACGATAAGAAAACTTAGCCTGAAAATATTTCAATACACTTATCCCGACAGAACCCATGAATTTTCACTATATAGAACAGGCACGGGCCTGCTTCTAGAAATGCATAGGCTGTATGTGCCTCAAAATATTTCAGATCCCGGAAGCATACTCTCTGAGTGAAGCTTACAAACTGACCTCAGTCAGCAGTCACCAATTCCGCATATGATTTCGCTACTTAACCATTCAGTTCTGGGCCAGAACTGGTTATATTTGCGACAGAGTTTGTAGGTCCGAGAGATGTAAGATGAATTTTTTAAATAGTAATAAAATTTTATTAAAAGTTTAAGGTAGTATTTATACTACCTTAGTTAGTTAGTATGTATAGTATAATTACTGTTTGGCATTTTTATGCTATAAATAAATAAATAATTAACTATTTTTTATTTTGAATTTAAGATCTAAATCCGTCCCCAGACGGAGATATCTGATGATTTTTATTGTTCAGTAAATACATTCAGTAGTTTACTTTGAAGTAATGTTTGGCACTCTTTACTATTTTGTGGACCCCAGCTGGGAGCACCTTTTGAAAGTGTATCCAAACCAATACAACTTACCAATACGAAAAGTACGTACCAACTTAAAAAAAGGCTCCTCTTTGACAGCCAGTTGACCATGTGTACGTGTCCGATAACCAACACAGCCCTGCGATTCTGTAACTCACTTTTAGAACTCACACAGCGGTTTTCGCATCGCATACGAAAAGGCTTGTAGTTTATTGTTTATCAGAATGCCAAATCATAAAATGACTGCTTCACGACTGATTTGAGAGCGACCGCCGATGCGAAAACCGCTGTGTGAGTTCGAAAAGTGAGTTACAGAATCGCAAGGCAGGTTAGAGTTTGTTTCGTATAAAGATTAAATATGTACATTTACACTTACCAATATAATATATGCGTGCATTAAGTGGACATACATAATATATTGCAACGTATTAGTAAACAGTAATGAATTAACTGAAATGATGACATTTATGAACCCTTGCAATATCTAAGTGGATTTGTACTAAAGTCGACACGCTATCTTTTAAACTATAATATCCATATGTTAGCTTCAGATTTTCAGTGTCGTATTACCAAGGACCGCAAACTCGACCACTGGATTGAAAATCGAACGCTAAGCAGGCAAATATAATGAACCTATTGAACAAAAGAAAATTAAAAACATTATTTTTTAAAATAATGTTTCATACTTTACCTTACCTTTACCAAAGTCTATGTATTATATATTTGTATATAATATATAGACTTTGCGACAATAGACAAACGAACCCTCTTAATTCATAAACCCTCCAATTGCCGTTTACACAACCGTTTTAACTGAAGTCCTTTTCCATGTCTTTTCGTCATAGTATAAAAACGATTTAATAGAAAGACACATAAGACTGCTGACATTTTAGAGTCAATTCGAATGATTTAGTTTTTATTAATGAAATTCATTCTCATGATAAATCGAAATAGGTTTTCGTTTCAGTCTACATAAACCGTCCAAGAGCAGCATAGCAATGATGTCCTAGTAGATCGTCCTTACAAGTCCTGGATGTGACTAGATATTTCATTTTACGGTGATACTCATAGTCGAGACTGAGCACTAAGTACGACTCCCGCATGTCAGATGCCAATAATTACATTATTGATAGAGGCGGCTTATACTTATGGTCTAAGATCCGGCTGCAGGATTACTGCGCTCATCGGTTATTTGCTAAAAAAAAACAAATTTTTATGTATATTTATCATTAGGAGAATGTATATCTACCAAGGTGCCTATAAAAATTTGGCCGCTAGTATTTTTAATGAAATTATTTTGAATTGATTTTTGGAAACATTTCGTTCACTTGTTATTTAAATAAAATATCGTCTACATCACGGCAATTTACATAAAGATTTTAAAAAATCACGGGTGTCGTTGATCACCTGGCCGCACTTCATCGTAGCCAGGTGTAAACAGGTATGATTTCGATACAATTATATGTTCATAACGTACATTTATTAATTATATATCAAATTGAAGCTAATTTTTTTCTATTAATTATCGTTGTTTTTATGTTAGAATAAAAATGCCGCATCTATTCAGTTTGCACCTTGGTAGATACACATTCTCCTAATGATAGATTTACATAAAAATTTGGTTTTCAGCAAATAACAGATGAGCGCACTTATCCTGCAGCCGGATCTCGTACTATTACCGCAGTTTCGACTATTGCATGTCATCTCGGCATTTACAATGCTAAATATATGAACTTTTAGGAATAAATTTTGGTGTAATGCTAGCTTAGATGAACCAACCTTTTTTGTGCCATGCCCCACCTTAGCCTTCCTAAATTTCTTATGCTCTATTCCCCCCCATATGTAACGTACATAATTTAAATATTAAAAAACTGAATTGTACACTTAAGTAATTTAAATGATAGGTTTTAGGAAGAAATCACTAGGAAATTGTTAACGAAACAATAAGTAAACTTTCAAAACATAATGAAAATCTGAAATTCAAATTTCCAATAATTTTAATAAAGATTTTTCTATATTAATTTAGTGAGATCCTTGCGCTTGGTGCTTGCTCCACAGAGACAGAGATTTTATATAAGGTTCCCATATCGTTAGCTTCAGTCTCAAGTCTCCACATTGTGTTATATTGGGCTGATTTCGTTAGCCTCCTTAACAATGAAATTGCCCCACTGTGGGGCGTGGGCCCCACGTTGGGAAACACTGATCTAGGTGATCAAATACATTATATGGCCATATGATTGTTGTAGCACCACTGGCTAATAAAACGGCACTTTTCAAAAATATCGAACATCTCATTCATCACTCTTAATTAAACAAATAAATAATAATTAATAACTTTTAATTACAGATACACAACACCAACACGAAACTAGTGTTGAATAACCATTAAAATAGCTACAAAGTTATTTACAAAAACTACAATAAAACAGTACAGATAAAGGTTTACAAAGTTTTCTAGTCTTTATTGTAGAGTATTTGAAAACGACTTTTACACATTACTATAGGCACGTTGTTTTTACAAATGCATTTAATTTTTATATGTCATGATGATACAGGTGACAAGATCTTTAACAGCGGTTGCGATTTCCGCACCAGCAGTCATACCCTGTAACACATTTCCGATTTCAAGCTTACGTACTATGTAATCTCATAGCGACTTCATGGCGTATTGTGCCAATTATTGAATGAAATCGGATAATGTGTTTACAGAACATCACTGCTGTTTTAAAGCGCGGTTTTGATTACGTCTTACAACAACATTATTTCAGCGCTGTCTAAATGTCTGAGTTAATACAATTCATTAGATAAGAGAGTATTTAATAATTGCTGTTAAAATTATTCAAATTCGGATTCACAATTTAATTTTAAAGCTTCATAATATACAGAGAGACAGCACCTTGCTTTAATAGACATAATACGCCTTTGGCTCATTATTTCAACCCAAGAGATACAGACAACATATTTTTACTTTTCGAGATTATTTTGATGTCAACATATAGGTAAGTATGTTAAGAAGTGGAATGTAAAAGTGGACTTTGATAGTTCGAAAATAAAGATTTCCTAGATCTTACTATGGTCCTATCTTGCTCACGCACTGGTCGCTGATTTTATAATAAATAAGGCAGACAAATACACTTTCTATAAAAATACTGTTTATAATGTATCACACTACAAGGAGCCTACATTCTACAAATAATATAGGAGAGAAGTCATGCTTACATTCGTAGATGTATTTTGCTTTTAAAAGTATTTCAGTAACTGTCTGTATGTGTGTTTCCTTTTGGTTGAGGCTAAGCAATTTATGACTCAGAACATTACCGAAGTAAAAACAAAACGTATACTCAAATAAAAAAGAACAATTACAAAGATTGTTGTCTATGCCAACCTCTTGTCTATGCTCAAAAGTACAGATAAACCTTTCTGTTACTCTTGGGTTGCTACTTTATAATGTATACTTATTTGAGATTCTTATCATTGTATTCATTATATACAAATATTCAGTTATATTACAAAAATTTATTCATAAATAGAACCTAGCATTATTGGTGGCATTCAAAACTTCTACATCTATATTAACAAATATCTTATTAAGTACATAATAGAGCAAAAAATACATATAAATAAATATATTTGTGCTGAAATGAAATTTATATGGCATGGTATTTTAATTAGCAATATTAGAGCTTTAGATTCGCAAATTATCCAAATTAATAAAGCAAGAAGCCAGTCTGAGTCCAGTCTTGCAGTTATAAAACCTTTTTTAAATAAATACTTTTTATACGGGACGTAAAGGTAGACAAAGGAGTCTTCTAGATACAGAAAACATCGAGGCACAGTCAAGCACGTTTGTTCTTTGTTTTACCATTAACAACTACGTCAGTCTCTGGTCTCCGAGGTCTTAGGATGAAGTTTAGGTTATACGCTGTGTTGACGGCGTAGTAGACGTTCGCGTTTGCTGGGAGCACCATTTCTGCAAACAATACAATATAATATGTCGGGTATGGTATTTTATAAATCCAGAATATTTAAAAAACATCATTTATATAATACTATATTTTTTAATAGAATTATGGTATTTTAAACAAAAACAATTTTTACCATGAGCCGGATAATATTTTTTCATAGTTCATATAGATAGCTCTTCATTATAGATCGGATTACTGGATTATCCTAAACAGACAGCAGCTATTAAAATTAAGAACAGAAGATAAGTTAATATAAAATATAATACCTCTAGTCTTACCTCTTTCCGGCAAAACTTGAGCCAAAGTATATCCATCAGGATCACCGTCCAAATTCAACTTGAGCATAGAATTTCTTATGACTTGTGGCGTCCTCTCGTTATTACTCAACATTATCGACTTGTATAAAACCACGCCCTCTGTTTCAACGCAATCCGACTCATATGTCACTCGTATTATGTAAAAATCTGGCCCATTTCGAGTCGCATGCGCAGGGCTGTTGGCTACTTTTCCGTTGAGTTGCTTCGGGCCACTGTTCGCACTAGACAACGACACGTCCAGAGATGGTATGGATGATGATGAGGAACCATGAGACAATCTCGTAGGAGAAGACCGTCGCTCCAAGCTGTCTCTTTTCCACGTCCCTACACCATCTGTTTCGCAGTAAAACTGAGAGCTGTTACTCGAACTTGTACTGGCTATCGAATCATTCTTCCTATGGCCGTTATTATTTTCATTCTTCTTCGGGCGCCGTTCTTTCGGTGCATTGGTTTGAGGCTCTATTTGACACGAAAGCTGATACGCTTCTCTATCATCTAAGATTATGACAGAATCAAACCAGCGATCAAACATGGGGTCGGTGGGTAAGTGATATGCATTTGCTGCACCTTGGAGCAATTTGATCTGTGCGAGCACCTCAAACTCTTTTCGTCTCTTGTCAAAATTAATTAATCCATCTGCAACGGTATCCGGAATCGCTGTATCGATCATTGTCAGATCTGTTAAAAATGTGCCCAGATATGGTATCGTTCCATGGCTGACTCCAGGAGATCCGCGCTCGTGAAGTAACTTCTGTAATTGCTTATCATTTTCCCCAACCGTGTCAGCAAATTTCGCCGTCCCTTCTCTCATCAAGAGTTCTCTTTGCGCCCATCGATTGTTATCTTCACTAAAAATTCTCGCTAACTCTTCAAACAGCTCCGCTTTTTCTTTGTTTAGGAGCGCCCAGGTTTTTCTTAATCTGTACACGGGGTTGCTTTGCAGCCCCGAAATTATGGCCTTTAAGGAAGAAAAGTTTTTAAGCACTCTCAGTTCTCTGGCGATATCTAACCACGCAGCTAGGATATCCGCTCTTTCTAGAGGTTTGAGGTTCGGTTCGACTAAAACTGTGGATATGACACGGAAAGAGACGGCATTGAACTGATTGATCGTAGCTAGCACTGTGGCTGCGTCGTGGGAACGGTCTTTGTCTCGGCGGGACCAGATGGCGCCGAGGCACTGATGGGGGACTAACTTCTTGAACAACTCCATGTCCATTCTGGTGAGTTGTTCTGCGAAGTGTCGGTGGGGCACGTGGGGCAGACGGTATGAGGTTGTGTGGTGGGCTGGCAGACGCATGCCGGGAGCGAGGCACACGCCACTACCGCCGACACTTCCATTTCGTTCCGCACTAAATATTGCTAGCTTCTGCAACACCTGGAAATAAGAATAACACAAGTCTGTGATGTAGAAGATACCAGATAGAAAGATGAGAGTTTTTTTATACACAGTCAGAAATTTCTCCAGAATACTTAGAAAGCTTGAGAATATGTAGGCTTTCATGGTCAGTAGGCTAGCAAAGCCATTTAAAGTAATTAATTTGCAAGTGTTGTGTGGAAGTGAAAATTACCTTCGAATGTAGTTCAGAACCAGGTAGGTGTATCTGAGTGAAGGTGAGGAGCTGCTGCAGCGCGGGGTGGTGCGGGGCTTGACGAAAGTCCTCAGGATACGTGTCCAGCCAGACATGGAGACACGCAACCAGAGTCCTGAAATAACATGATCCAATCATAAACATTTTGCAATCAAAAGATTTTGATTTCATAAAATTTGCGATATTTTATTTAAGTTTAAGTAATTTGTGATATATACTGACAGCCTGATATTGCAGGAAGTTCACGTCAACGTCATCGTTTATGATACACAGTTAATTCAGATCTGAACGACTCAAATTAACTATCATGTTATTTATGAGCAAATATTTTTACGACATCATAAATTTAATAAAACACTATTTTGACCGGATTGAAGTTATGTATTATTATAAATTTACAACTATTTAACATAATTTTAAATTTATCCGACGTTTCGCGTGCTCGTGGTTGTACGGTGTCACCGTCAAAATAGTGTTTTATTAAATGAATAAAAGTTATGTAATAAAGACACGACAATAAATATCATAAAGTCTGCGGCATTTGCAAGCTGGCGAATGTGCAGCTTGCAAATGGCTCGCGAGCTGCACATTCGTATATTCATTCATACACATAAGTTTTATATGTCCATTCTCCTAATAAATTATATTAAACAATGAAATTTAAATCGTACTAAAGTCTGAAAAACAGGTGCTATATCCGAAATACAATCATTAAACACAACATATTATAAACAAACAGCTAATAAGGGGACTGAAAAATAGTCTGTGTCTGTATGCATGTGACGCAAATATCATCGCTGGCCTACAATAGAGTATTTTCTTTTTATAAAAGCAAAACCATGCGGGCTACATTCCAATGGGTTGTACACGTAAACTATATAGATTTAGAGTACGACATATTTATAAGAATATATTTTTAAAAGACATCGTAACAAATTTAATACAAGCTACTAGATCTGTGAGTGAATGTACTAGAAGTGGAAAGTGTAAGCTTACTTTCTATGTTGCTGTGAGTTTTCCGTCCCAGTAGAAAGCACGTCGTCGGCTGCGAGGGCTTCATATCGACCGAGTAACAAGTCGAGGACTTTACTGCACTCCGCGAATGACCTGAGTAACAACATTTTTTGAGCATATACTAATAATGATTAATGATTATTAGAATTATCTAGTACTAGCTGACTACGTCTACACATTTATAATACAACATTAAATAATTATAGCGACTTACGAGAAATTATCATTTTTCAAACATTTTATATGAACTTAGAATGTGACGTAAAACTATAGAATTGCAGAAATATGCTGCGTAGTAATTTTTACTGAACCTAGCAAGTTTACGTAACAAAAATGTAACGTTTAGGACGTAAGAGGAACATACTGTAATTTCGTCCAGTCTAAACAGCGACTTTAATTTAAAAAGGTGGACGTGTTACCATGGTTACGATTACGGGATGTTCTCGGCAAAGGCAGATGAGAAGCGAGTCGAACTAGAATTAGAAACGAGTTGGCGAGCAGCAGAAAGCGAGTGTGTAGTTCTGATAGTTTTGTCGCTGGGCTATAAACCAGTGTACGAGTGAGACGGGCGATTACTCGTAAAATACATCATCATCGTCGTCTGAACTAGACAACAATGATAATTCAAATGATTGTTTGTTATTCATAATAAATAAAAATACGTGTACTCTCAGATCCGACCTGTAGAGAAATGACTGCTGTCGAGAATTATCTTTGATAGCTCTTGTCGTTCAGCGACGAACTAGTGGAGCGAGTCCTCGCCGCCAGTATGAACAGTCAGCGATCAACTATTTATACATGCATCTCTTTTGTTTACACGGAATGTATATCTATTGTACGTTTCTTGAGCGAGAAAATAGCCGATAGTTAGTCGTTTCCTCCCCGATGGTGGGACAACTGCCTAAAACGGATCGTTTTTTTTATCTCTTACCTGTATGTAGCGAGAAAGACATTGACATAAGTGGACTCCAACTCGCCATCGTCAGTGGCCAATGCCTCAACGAGGCGATCAACAGTACCAGCTTTAACAAATCTAACTCGAACTGTCTCCCACTCCAAATGTGAGATCTCGTCATCAGACTCCTGAAATTCCAAATTAAAATGGTTCAGTGGTGATCTTCGGAGAGATCGAACGATTAATTAGTATGATATTTCATTAAACTTGGTCGAATCGAGCAGTGTTTTACGTTAGTGCAAAAGTGCTAGGTTTACATTACATTGTTGCCTTTTTATACGTATACAGCCACTGTTGCTGTGACTGTTGTGGGTGACCTAGTGTCTTCCCAGTTACAGAAAAGAAGAAAAAAAATTACTTAAAAATTTAATATCTTTTGAATGAATAATTTACAGCGTAAGTTTTTTTTTTAAATATGTAGTTAACTTGTATAATTCTTTTGTATGCTTATTTAACAAATCGTGCGAGGTGGCACAACTAAAGCGGGCCATAGACGGACCGCATTTTGCAGCCGATACCGACTGCTCTAAGCGGTCGCTACGATGTTGAACTGTTAAAATGATTGCCCTTCCCCCCCCCCCTTTTTTTTTTGGGGGGGGGGAAAAAAAAAAAATTTTTTCCCCTTTGTTTAAGAAATTATAATATCAATAGTAGATGTTGAACCTCAAAATTCTTTCTCCTACTAAGCATTACAAATGAAATGAAATATTCAAAGGATTTATAATTGAGATCAAGCCCAGAGTTAACCATAAAAGTATACCGGCGTGTGAATAACAAACAATGATATCAAATGTGGCTGATTCACAGTCCTGAGTCAATTTACATGTTATTTATGTTTACGTTCCGGTAATTTTGAGTCATTTCGGTTTCCACTATCGCGTATTTCCCTTTGTTTTATTTACAAGGTTGAATTATTGTATGGGTTTTATATTTTATGTTATTCATTGTTTTAAAACACTGCGCCCGGCTTTGCTGTTGGATTCTATTTTATTTTTGGAAATAAATATAGTTTAAGTTACTGAGAAATAATGAGGCATTGGAATCATGGAGGACTTTTAAAAATTGCTTGGATTTTAAGTTATTCTTTACAAAGATATAAAATATTTTCTCTTTATTATATTAGTATAGATTTCACAGCTATTTAATGCTTACAGCGCCTACTAAAGTTCCAAGCGCGTTGTTTAAATTAAATGTTGAGAAAAGATATTATGATTTTTCAAGGATCTTCCCTTGGATATTTTTTGTGGACTTTTTATATCTATTGATCGGGAACAAACTCATAAAGGATTACAAAAACACAACAAATATTTGTTGATTTATGATTACACTTAAATCACTTAAACACTCATTTTGTATCCAATGTTATGGTCGTGATATGCTTAAGATGTTAATAGTGCTTTCTTCAACCTATATATATAAATAATATTACTCGTAAATATCTTAATTTGTTAAAAGCTTACACTGGACGCGCAGCGCGTGGGCCGATGGTAACGTACTTTCTTCAAATAAACAGTATAAATCGCCCCGTCTACTCGCTCCTCGCCCCACAACCGCCATGTCGGCTGCTGAAAACAAACAACCACTCATTAATTTTATAATACTAGACAAGAATACACTAGACGTTAGTGATTTTGTTACATGATACACTTCATCACTTTTCTGGTCATATCTGACATATTATTTCTCGCCAAGGTAAACTTCGACCCCTGCCCTTTAAGATGGTGAAAGGCGGTTTAAATTGGACCAAAATCCCTCATATCAAAATCAATTAGGTACACCTTGCTTACACTGAACAATTAATATAAATTGTCTTTGACGCACACGTTTACTAACGTCACTTAAGTTTAACATATAGGGAGGTGGGGCTAGTTGTAACAATTTTAACAAATAATTGAATATCATGAAGTGTATTGGCTAAATTACTACTAAATAAACTTTGATGGATACTCTAACTATTTATCTATGAAGTCTAATCGAAATATTATCAAATCTACAGGCAACTATCTCACAATTATTATTTTTTTGAAAAAAGGGAAGTGTTACAACTTACCCCGTGGTTGGGGCTAGTTGTAACAACAAAATATGACACCTTCAATTGTTTAATTTTTTTACATCTTGGATCTTTTGCTTTGTATATAACAAAAACTAACTAGGTATTTCTATAATGTGTTTTTTATGAAATAGTTAACTGGACAAAAAATATAATCAACAAATTAAAGATTTAAGATTTTAACTATCTTTCTTATTCTGTACTGAAGTATAATATATATAAGGTACTTATATCATGTCATGAAGTATATAAGGTACTTATATCATGTCAACATGGCACTTATTATACATCCATGAGTCTGTGCTCTGTTCACATAGTTTTTAAAGGGGCGTGAGACTCCCACATCTCCTACAGGTTTCAAATTGTGGGAGCAATGGGAGGGAAACTATAACATGATAACATTGTTTTCTTTGGTTTTTCGACAGCTGCAATATTCACATGTAGCCAGGTTATCAAGCAGTAACAGAACTGGCTCTTTTTGGTAGGTTTCGCGTTTTGATAAAATGATCTACAAAAATCAAAAATTTTTTCGGTCTCCCCCTGAAGAATTACCAGTCCAATGCAATCTTGAGGTCCACCGCGAATGAACATTTTGAGTATTTAAGCCGGGGAAAAATGAGGCGTGTAACTTAAGCAATGGGGGAAAATTGTAAATGTTACAACAAACCCCGAGGTTTTGTTAAATAGCCCCTTGGTCTTTCACGATATTTCGCTTAGTAATCTTGAACACTGTTATAGAACATCATATAGTTTATTTTAGCATAAAATAAAATACATAAAACTTCAAAGCTATGAAAATAGTGAAACTAACCAAAAATTTGTTAGTAAAATTATAGGTTACCTGTCAACAAAAAGCGTTTGAACACCCACTACTGAGCCTCCTGGCGGGCCCTTGGCGTGGTGAAAGGCGTGGCACGTTATAAGTTTGAAGATTAGTAAAAATCGTGAGTAAAGTCAAATTCACTATTGAAAAGGGTCTGTTACTCACACGTTTACCCCTGTTACAACAAGTCTAACATATACCTGTGGTTCATCGACGTGGGAATATTAAATGTAAATTTCAATCAAGATTAAGAATATATTTACCAAATTTATAATGATTGAATATCGTACACCACTGTTAATTCGTATTTTAAAACGAATTCTTAAACACAAGATAAATTTACACTTAAACAATACTCCGAAACACATTGTTTATCGTATTCGTTGCTAATCTTAACTAAAGTATTAAAATTAGGTTCAAAGTTTTAATTGAGAAATTCAAAATCCATTGCCAAGCGTTAAACTCTTATCTCAATTGAATAAAGTTCAATTTAAAGTACAGACTTGTATATATTTTTTTACTTCTCTTTAATAAATTCCGAACATTGTATAATATCGAGTTTAATTACGTATAACGGTTACAGCAATCTTTTAATAGGCACGGTTGCATTACTGTTTCGTATGTACGTTATAATGGATATTTGATAATAATACCTGTATAAGATAGGCAGTTGGCAACCGTTGAAGGGGACTCGGACAAACAAAACGACTTTATTGCGAAAATGAACAGGCCGACATAGGCCGGACGAATGAACTGCGTACATGACTTGAAAATAAGTCAATTATCAACAATTTAATTTTGAAATGTCAAATTTTAATTGTGACGTGTTTCCTGTATCGGTTTACATATTGTGAAGTAGTTTTACAATGTATTTTTGTTACTTATGACTCTCAGCAGATGTTAAGTCATAATGCTGCCCGTGGGCACAAGGAGGGCAAATGTGGACTTTTGGCAGCGCTCCTTTCGAGCAGAAGACATATCCAATAAAACAATTTTTTTTCTTTACTAGACTAGCCTGTCTTGGTTTTTAGTATAAGAAAATCAAAAACTCAAATTAATTTATCCATTTGAAATAGACTTATCACCTATTGCCTTAAGCCTAAGTTTAAGGATATTCAATACGTTGTATTTAAAATAAGCGTATTTTCTGTGGACCGTGCTTACATAATCGTCATCAATGACGTCAGAGAACAGTGCCTCGACTTTAGTGACGCCGCAAATCCTCCACATGGCCCATGTCGCCACTAGTGACGTCACTTATCTCGCATTGCGCTGACTTTCGCTATCACAAATGTCTAATTGTCCCATCGCAACGACTGCGTGCGTGACGGTGAAATCGTTTGGCACACTTGGAGATATCCGGATTGACTAGTTTCCTTTACAATATTTATTTACACTATGTACATACAAAATAATTTTATGTATTGTATATTTTGCAATATTCGGTTCGAGAAAATAACGTTGTTAAAGTCACATCAAGTTTCACAAACAATCACGAGGTTCGTAATCCAAGTTAAGTTTCCCTTAGGAAATTCTGGACGTTTTTATCTAATAGACAAATAGAAATTTTATAAAACATTTTTATTTATGACACAGTTTTCTTTCCGAATGCTACACAATGGTAACTCTGTCGCGGTTGTATGGAGACTGCTCTCTCGTGGAGAGATCGCGCGAAAAACTCAGATAGAGCACGTCAATGGCGTGTCTATGTGTGAATTGGACGATGAGTACATTGTACGAGCTATTTACTTAGTCATTACTTAATATTGAATGCAGGAACTAGTGCCATGGTAATTTGGAAATCGATTTATTTTTAACTTATTAGAAAAAAACTTTGTTCACCAACTATAAACTCCGGCTTTACGAACTAAACCTTCGTACTTATCGTACCATAACTTTATATGTAAATAAATAAATAAAAAAAATAAAAATGTCTTTATTAATTTCAAGTAGATATGCACTACAATGTGTGAAGATTTGGTGCACAGATTCGTTATTTGGCGAGGCAAGCATTCTGATAGAATAAATTTCGTATCAGAGATGATCCGGTTTCATAAAAAAAGTTGTAGCACATCATCTTTGGTATCAACTTTAGGTAAATGCCAAAAAAAGTAATGAAGGCTTACTATTATTAATTCTAAGCAGTGAAAGACTATTGGATGGCTGTGCACCAATAGTTTATCAAGATTTACGAAGTAATACGAGAATAATAAGGAGAAGAACATACAAAAGCTTAAGAGTAATTCAGAAACGAAACGCAACGACTCACGTATCCAAAACGTTTTTGAGATATGTGAGTCAGACTGGCGCTAAGCCTCGTTTTTAGATGGCTTATAGTACGGTTGCCGGAAGTTAGCCTCCAGTATTTAATTTAGTTTAATAATAAAAAACGTAGTGAACGTTTCTAATGCCATATAAAAATGTATTATGTAATTGGATACCGGTAGTTGCATAACGATTTGGTCGCGTGTTTCCTACACTTTCAACAATTTGCAAATCAATACCAATAGAATTAATGATTGTAAAACCTAAACAATGATCAAAAGGTACATAGAAGTGATAGTAACAGGAAATTGTTGAAATCGCCTCAATAATATATTTTCTTTATTATACTTCTCTAAATTCCTGACTTTCCTATTAATGTTGGAGGGAGTGAACATAGATAAAAGAAATACACATTGATTTTGAATATTGACTGAATAGAAGTTGATATACGAGTATAGCGTTAACTCAGTGCATTACTATTACTACTAATGTCACAATTTAGACAACGGGATGGAACATTAGTGTTTGCATTCTCGTGACGCCTACATGCCATTATATCAAACCTGGCGATGTATGAGAAAATTTGTATCAGACCAAAGGATTGCCACTCACTTTTTTAATAGATATATATACCTGACATTTACCCTATGATATATGCAGGTAAACATCTCAAACTCTAAAATTCAACCTCTAAAATCTCTAAAATTCTCCTTAAAAACAAAGAAGACATTGGCGGAGACTCTGCCATTAGTGATTTTATGGCGCTCAATCCTGTACAACAACAGAAAGGAGGAAAAAAGTTGCTCTGAATATGTGGTGGTGCAGATGTTTGGGCAGTTAAGAAAACAATCATGTACATATTAAGACGGTTACAAGTAAAAACGCTTCGACACTTTTACCAACGGATTTTGAGTTATTATTTTGGACATGTAGGGGAAAAGCCGGATAGTTGCCCCACTTTTCGAAAAAGCTTTATATTTTTTAAATATGAACTTGCTGAAAATTATTTAGTATGTATCTCGCAACATAGGTCTTTTATCTTCTATAAAAGCCTATTTTTGTATACATAATTAACAATGGTTTTGAATAAATACCGTTTTATTTCCCTTAAGAAAAGGGATAGTTGCCTACTATGGCGGATAGTAGCCTAGCGTAGAAAATGCTTCGGGACATCTCTGCGTTTTTATTTTGGATAGAAAAGAAATTTATATCAAATAGAGTAATCTTTATTATTTATTTAACAGTCTTTATAATTTACTGAGATCTTTTATTAAGTACAATTTGAAATATTAAGAAACAACAGTAATTTTTTCTCCTCTTTCTTAGCTAATACTTTACCAATTTTATTATTGAGTTGGACACCGCTTTCATCCATGTTAAATATTTTATCTGACTTATCCAGCAAATTATTCTAGTTAAAATAGTTGTTAAGAGTTTGAAAAATTTGCAACTTCTGTTCTGTTGAGACCCTAAGCTCTTTCAATTGATAAACCCTCAGCTTGTCTCAAAAGTTATATCAGGATTTCTTTCAAGAAAGCTTTTTAGCCATTGAGGTCCTGCCATTTTACTCTCATTAATAAAGTTGTGCTTTAATCCCAACTTTGTCTCAATTTTTCGAAGGCAAGTGCTAAGCTATCTTCTGTCCAGTTGATGTTGATGAGGCTTTTGCTATCTATAATAAATATATAAAATGTGGGAAGAGATATTTATTTAATTTACAACAAGTAAGAGACAAAGTAAATTGAATAAACATCAAAAAAACAGCAAAAAAATAAAACCTCCGTCTTTGCTTGTTAAGAAATTTTTAGTCACTCTAGGGGGGTGAGTGGGGCAACTATCCCTTTTGATGCAGGAGGGGAATATGGATACTTGCCCTTTTATTTGCGAAATAAATAAAAATTATTTAGCAATAAAAACATGATAAACAGTGTAATTTAAACTCTAATGCATGCAAAGAAACAAAAAGTTGACTGAAACCACGATCAGTAATAAAAATATTCAATAGAAATTACTTACCAATATAATTATAACGCCCGTCAAAGTTTCGCCGCGGAAGATTTTTGCTCACACGGACAAAACACTTGGGCCTATTCCGATGGCTTACGTGGCATTTAAGCCTGAGGGGCAGTCACTACTTATTGTAGTAAAGCGTCAATACAACTTATAATCCTAACATAGTTTTTTAAACACCGGGGCATGTATCCGTCCGAGGCAACTATCCGGCTTTTACCCTACACACCCAGAAAATATAGAAAAACTTATTATGACTAGCAGAGTGAAGTGCACCAGACCGCAATCCCCTACTGTCTGGACCGATCAAGAAAATACTCTTTCAGGTATTTTATCTGGTAGGAGCCAGCAGGTGCTGAGGCTTGCCGGAAGACAGGGGGAAGACAGTGAGTGCAGGAAATTGTGCGGCGTCACTAACATGACCTTCAGAAATAAAAAGATGATTAGACATAGACAGAACTATTACTAACGAAACACACACACAGAAACACACAAAATAAATAATAATAAGAATCAAAAAAGAAAAATAACAAAAAATTATGGAAAGAAAAAAAAGGAATAAGGTTTTTAAGTGCGTAATGTGTGTGCGTTGTAGTTGTAACTGGCCCTGGCTCAGCATTATGCTGTGGAACAGACGTGTTCCACAGCGCTGGTCAATATGCCAAAGCCTTAATAATAATAATAGTGAAAATTAAAAATGTAAGTAAAAAAGCCTTGGAAAATTTGTTACTAAAACTACTATAAGAAATACATAGATAAATAAATATTTTTGGGAGAATTAAAAACCAGATTTCGTTGTGGAAATTCACATACGCAAAGGGGAAGTGCCATTGCATTGCGATTCAGTTCAGTTGTTGTAATTAGATAATAGACCTATTTACTGGCAGCGACCTCTTTACAGAATTAGTTTTCTATGTTCTTGATATCATTTGTTCTAATCACGTGCAACAATCGATTGTTTTGTGTGAAATGAACTTTTGATAGAAATAGGCGACTTGAGCGAGACTAAGCTGCGAATCTAGCGCTACTACTGACAATTGTGTGATTAAAAATACAGATAATGTAGAACGATCTTCGTCACAAATTATAACGCCTACAAAGAAATAATATCAATAGAAGAGATAAATCCCATACACTTCCAGAAAGGATTGTGTCACTGGATTTTATATATTGTTTATCAATAAGTCCATTTGGCAATTGAACGAAAAGGTTTGAAACTTTAGTACAAAATTTAAAAAAATGTACCTTTTTATGTATTACCATAACTGCAAATTTACTGTGTCTAAATGGACGTAATTGTAAGGATATTAAATTTCCGATACGTCATTTAAATAGCTTCAATATTACAGTTCAAGCTAACAGTGTCAGATGGTACTTAAATTACATGTAAACAATATTTCGATTAAAAAAAAATTTTTTTGTTTTTTTAGATTTTTTTTTTTTTTTTGAAGAGGTGGGCCCGGGGGGCCGCCCCACTAACAAAAAAACCCCCCCTCCTTCCCCCCCCCTCTCTAAAAAAAACCATTTTTTTATTAAAATTGTAAATTTATAATAATACATAGCTTTAATCCGGTTGAAGCTTTTTCTCTATTTTGTACTTGCTAAAATTATATGTTTAGGTTAGGTTAGCAATTTAGTTTTGTCGGTAATATTAATTATTATTTATTTATTACCACCAAAAACCAATGTGTGGACTAGATAAAAGGTTCGAACGGTGTGCACAAACAGATGCAGAGCTTATGATATAATAAAATAAATAATAAAATTAAAAAATAGACAATAAATGACAAAAATAGATATTTAATAGAATGTCCTTCCCATAAACAGATTCGCGGTCCGAAAAATATCAAAATCCTTTGGGGAGCCCACAGATTGCAACAGATTGCAAATTCTGTTTAGTGGAGCGTAATAAAAAGCGTAATTATCTTGTAATTTTACCGGGAGTTTTCTGTAAA